CCAACTGCTTCATATGTGAAAAACTGGACAATGAATTAAGAAAACCACAGAGGAGTCGATACATTTGACTTGTGTTGGCACAAAAGTGATCACATGGACCATGCACTACCAGAAGAGCAAAAAAACCTGTCTTGGAAGAAGAACAGCTGGATGCTTCTTTGAAATGAGGGTGGTGAGACTTCATTTGATGTATTTTGGGAATACTATCAGGACAGACCAGTCCCTAGAGAAGGACCTTTTGCTTGGTAAAGTAGAAGGAAAAAGAGGAAAACCCTTAAAAAGATAGATTGACACAGTGGCTGCAACAAGGGGCTCATAACACTGCTTCTTTTGTACAGAGGCCACGGTGAGTCAGAACTGATTGGACGGCGGGTAATGACAACAGCCATGCCATAGTGGTCCACTCCGTAGGGCCGTGGGAGTTCCTGACGATGTACATTTTTGCATAGATTTCATATTTTCAAAATTCTAAATATTTTCATATACTTCTTTTTTATCCAATATTATCTTTTTCATCTGTGTAAAACATGGGAAGAATGAATAGTTCATTTTTGTCAATAGCTACTTTATTTTGAGGGAAAATTCTTATAGTAACTGTAATAATTTAGATTTTTAAAATTCTGTCGACTGTACAGTATCTGGGGCCTTCGGTTACATGCTGTTCTAAAAGTTAACTCATTAATGTTCTATCATAACCTATTGGCTAAAATTAAAGGTTAATATAGCATGATGGTATCATTGGTTTTAAGAGAAAAATATATATGAGAAAAATAGTTGCATTCATATTGAATGACATTCAAATTTCTTGTGTTAGCTTAAGAAATGGGAATTAAGCTTTTGTTTCACATTAATTTAGCAAACTAGAGACCAAAATACTGAAAAATATTAAGTTTTTAGTCTGAATGAAGAAAATTTATCAAAGATGATTCAAAATAGGCTATGGTAATATATAAATATACATATTTTTTCATTAGGAATATTACCAAATTGATTTCAAATTCATCATTATGCTCCATGAAATTGTAGCACATGATAATTTTCAGTCCTTATCATTACATTCTCCTAAAGCTTCCTGTACTTGAATATATTCCTCGACTACAGTGCTTTCTCTAAGATATTGGATACCAAATATTAGTAGGAAGATAGCTTGTACTCGGGTTGCTATTAAGCTTTTGGTTGATATTTCTGCTAGACCTTATCTGCAACAAACTAGTTGAATAGCATATAGAGGAGAAAATTGATGAATCATGAATGATGAAAATTGATGAATTGATGAATGATGAGTGATCTCCCAGCAATGCCAGCAGGTTC